TAATGTCTTCACTAAATTTGAGCATAAAATTGTCACAAGTGTGACTTATTAAAACTTATTTTCGAAAAATTTATATTTCTATATCCAATTTCTTTAATTCTCCATTGAATCTTGCCAAGCTGATGTATTCAAAGAATTGCATTAATTGGTTGCTAATGAGTATTCAATATTTACGTAAATTAACTTGTAAATAAAGCGCAAAAATTGTCAGAAAAAAAAATTAAAGAAATATATTAACTTTGAATATAATACATATTTATATATAGTTACAAAATATACATATTTACTTCTACTTAAAATACATAACAACATAAGCTACATACATAATACAACTTTTAATATTATAATAGTTCATCCAAGTCCTTGCCTTTTTCTTTAAATTTAACACAAATTTGCATTTTGAACAGAGAATCAGTTCTTGGTTGGCAAAACTTCTTGAAATCTCATTCCATGAAAATAGGATACACATGAAAAAGAATAATTGTCAATTGAAAAAAGCAAAGAAAAATCACAGACAAAATAGGATATTATCCAATACATTTTAAAACACAAAACCCCCTTCTTCGACTTTCCCAAAATGTTCCTTTTATTTATCACATCAAAACAGAATAAAATACATGAAAATATATGAAATTGAAGCCATTTTAATCTCCTAGTTTGATATTTTCAATGGGCTTACATTACAAACAGATTTTATTTCACTAAAAATTTATAGCAAGTTTCTTAAAAACTTAGATGAATTAAGATTATGTGAAATACACTAATGTGATTGGTTCATTTCAAAAATCTATTTTAGTGATTGACCAATCAGATCACTGGAATACCTAAGTTAAATTTAGAAACTAAACTTTCTAAGTATTAAAAAATAAAGTCCCTTGCCATACTTAATAATAAACAAAACCTAAATTTTAGTTTAAAGACGTCATTATTCAGATACCATCTGAGGTTGACGTGAATCTTCTATAATTTGGCTGGTAGGTTGTAACTTTTCATAACATTCCTTACAAACTCGTGTGCTTTCTTTAATATGTTGATTTGGTACTGGAGAATAATAGTTAGAACAATCTCCACAAAATACCTTTCCACATGACCTACAAAACCAAAAGAAAAATATTGACATCAACTTAACAATGTTTGTCACATTTTGTGTAATGAAGGTTAAAGTCTTGACAGAAAAATCCTCAATTAAAATAATGTTTGTATATAATTGACACAATCTGATTGGTTGAAATTTGGTACTGTAAAATTAAAATCAGTATTTGTGGTGTCTGCATTAGGCCAAATTTTTAATCGTTTTATCCAGACAGGATGGGCATTATCCAGTTGATATACATTTGTCCAAATTTATTTCAGGTTAAAGAGGCAGTATTCAAAATTTTTATTACCAAAAATGTTTTTTTTTCTTCTAAAATACACTTTTTACATTATGTATCAACTTGATCATCCCGACTTTGATTTAAAAGGGTTAATTAAAACCAAAATGTTCTAATTGTTAATAAATCAGTTTAAACTAGTTATGAATGTTGAAAATTAACAGCTAGATTTTTTTAGTTTGAAACCTTCAGAGAGATACGGGACATATTTTTCTACATTTAGTCGTTTAATTTTCTTAATCTCTACACTAGTTTTCTTACACTAATCAAATACATCAAGGTTTCAAACTCTTTACATAAACTTTATGTAAACTTTCAGATATTAAGGGTCACATTTTTTGAGATTTTGGTCTAAAGTGTTCATTAACTGGAAATGAAAATGAAATGAATGGAATTTTACATCCTTCTTTTTTAATTTGAGCAACTAACTTTCCTGAACTACAAAGAGAAATCAGACTGTCCCTTTAAGGGTTATTTTCACAAGTTTTATGAATATAAATCAATCAGAATTCTAAATTATTTAGAACCAGTTATTTTAAGTTAAAATATTTCTGCTCTAGAATTTAAAGATAAAAGGGGCAGTAAGGGAAATAAAGTCCATGTACCTCAACAATTGATGTCTTCAACTTAACTGAGTAATTTTGATCTATATAGAAATAAACAACATACTGTTTTATATAGATTAAATACCAGAGAGTCAATGTATAAGAATTAGAGAATAAAGGGCAGTAACTCATGAAAAGACAACAAGATTTTTTTGTCCATGTGTGTCTTTGAAAACTTTTGATGAAGTTAGTTTAATGACGAACTGCCAGTCTAATACCTGGACTGCAACAGCCACCATTTTGTATAATAGAAGTAAATATAAATGCAGCAAATTTGAATGGATTGTATACAAGAAAATACAGCCAATCATAGCCCCTGAATTTACCCACAGCCAAATTGTTTTACAGCCTTTCTGTCGGAGTCTCTGATTGGCTGTATTCAAAAGCATACAATCTGATCAAATAGGTGACTATTGGAGTCAAGGTATGAGAGGCAGTAGTACTAACTTGACATTATGAAAATGATCATGTTCATAAAAAAAAGTATTAGAAAAATTAAGGCATTCAAATAACTTTACAAAACCTTTTTGATACTAAAAAAAAAACCCATAACATACCGACAATGGTGTTTTCGTCTTGCTGTCCAAAATGCCGACTGACACAATGCACAATGGGTTACAGCATGATCTGGTATCCATAAGGTCAAAGGGCAATCTTTCACTTCTAAATTCTCCCAACTAACATCTGAGGCAGGATTACTAAGATTTCCCAGGGAATGAAGTTCACCTTCAATATCACTATATAATACCTATCAAAACAAAAATAATCTGGATATTAAGTGATTTCACTAAAATTTTTAGCTAAGCTATTTCCGGTATTGTAATTCTGTATTTGAGTGTTTTGTCAATCACATCTGATCATAGCTCTGGAATGTCCCTTTTTTTTTTTTTGCACAATGCCAGAGTAGTGAAATATATACCTTCAAGTGAGAAAATTCCATTGATAGCCCTGACAACTGTAACAGTACCATTGGGTAATTTTATGAATTACATATATGAGAGAGGGCAATTTTCATTTGAAAAATTATACACAAGATTGCTTAAAATTAAAGGGACTATAAAGAAGTTTTCTAAATTTTTTATGTGTAAGCTTATCAGGGACACTGATAACATCAATTTGAACCATTCCAATTTAAATCGAACGTCTGTATTTTCTGCAATTCCACTAAAACTAAATGTTTGATGACGTTACTAAATAGCGAAAGGCCTTATGTGATAAAGCATATTTCGCAAACACTTAGTTTTAGTAGAATGCAGGAACCACAGATGTCTGGTTAGAAATTGGAATGGTGCAAATTGATGCCTTATTACACATAATTATTTTAGAAAACCTCTTTACAAATCCTTTAAGATGAATTACCTCTGGTTCCTCTCTATATTCCAGTCTACCATTAGCATGTATTAATTTCTCTAAACCACAGATTTTTCTACTATACATGTCTTTAATTTCTGCTAGTTTTCTTTCATATTCTATTTCTTTTTGTTGCATTCTTTGTTGTATTGGATCTATATATGTTGTTAAACCATCACAATCTAAATGTCTACCCATACCATTAGATTGTCTGTTATTAGCCCAATCTACCGACTGAAATATTACATATAAATATCAATCAAATCAACATTAAGTAAATCTATTCATGAAATTTGTTGCATCAAAGGGATAATTGCCTAAAACGCTATCATGTGCAGTCTATAGAAATTTTCAATTATCCATAATTCTGAACAATAAGATTCTCAAGAACTAGACACCATCATACATAAAATAAAAAAAGAAGCTTTGTTTAACTTCTTCTGATACATAAGCATACAAGGGTGGCACTTGATTGGAGAGTTCTTCACAGGTTCCACCAATTTTGCCCTTGAAAGCGGATAAGCTTAGATCACATTCAGAATTTTCCCATATATTTCCTTATCCGCCATTCAGAATTCTGTCAGCACCTACTATTTTTTTCGGCACACGTGGAATGCTTTTTAAACTAGTTCCAACTTGTGTTATTGAATATTGATTCCATAAATCCTAAATGTGCAGAATTCACACATCGAGTGGCCATTTGAAAGGAAACATATTTTTAATCCTTTGCTTTATCATCTACAGTTTAAAAAAGAATTGTTTGTGTACATACCTTAGTAGTAGTGTCTGGCGTTGGAGGACATGTTGAATTAGGTGTACGTGAATTAAACGGAGTGGGGAAGGGAGAAGAAGAGGAGGGGGATGGACTAGCACTGTTTGGTTTGGAATATAAACTACCACCAACACAATTAAACTTGCTAGGAGTATAATTTGTGTAACAATATGGATTAGAGAGTTTGAGGTCGTGTAGTCTATGATCACAGTCAGATTTTAGTAAACCAGCAACGCGAGAGTCACTAATATCACTAGTACTTGTACTCATGGTTGAATTACTAATTTTTAACTTTTCTTTCAACGAATACGCAGTAGTTTGTACACTATTATGATCGTTTATCACATGTCCATTACTGTAACCATTAGTTAAACTAGAATGACCGTTCATGTAGTTAATACCGTTTTGTAAATTATTGTCCGTATGCCGTTCTAGAAATTCCTCGTCAGTTATGGTGTCTGTCGAACTTTCCACAGACTGATGGAAATTTTTAGAGTCATTTATCATAGAATCACAGTTTCCGTTTATTTTATTGTCATCATTTAACTCTGTTGATATGAGTCCATTATCAACGTCACCATTACTTTTCACAGTGGTATTTGATGTCTCTTCCTTCAGCGAATCCTCAATTCCGTTTCCTGTCACTAAATTTTCTGTGACTGTGTTGTCTTCACTGTCCGAATTTTCTCTCTCACTTTCAGAGTCATTGACGCCATTTGTGACATTTCCGTTCATATGTACACCATTAGTCAGAATACCATTCATTTGACTAATTAGCTCATTGTTATCAAATTCTCCAGTACCATTTTCTACTAAACTTTCATTCTCTTGATCGGTTACTTTCTGACCGGTGTCCGGTTCTTTACAAGCGGTTACTATCTGTTCAGTTGAACCGTGTAAGATATTTGGATCACTTAATCTCCTAGATATTACAGGAGTGTGCTCTTGTAACATAGCTAAGTTTTCACATGACCGTGTTTTTTGCAAACCATTCATCTCTATATCTGGAGTTATTTCCCCTGTTTCTAGGGCAGCAGGGAAATCTTCTGTAGTATTGGTTGATAAAGAACTATTAGACAGATATACTGAGTTCCATAATACTACCTTATTTACTGAGAATTCAGGATAGAGTACCTAGAAATAAACAAACTTAGTTTAGTTTGGATTATACCCCATTGTAGTGGCATGTCATGGAGAGGCAACTTTAAAATTTCGTATCATTCAATTTTTTTACTGTCTGGTGTTTTGAGCCCTCTTGATAAATCTACGACCCCTACTTCATTTTTGATCAGACATCTGTGGTTCTTGAAAATCAAGCATTTTATGGCATCATATGCAAAGGCCTCAGATATTATTAGAAACCCTAAGATCTAGTGCAATTGCAAGAACCACTAAGTGAAAATAGGATTGGTGTAAATCCATACCATCTATGTCCCTGATACACATAAAAAGTTAAGAAAACCCCTTTACAATCTCTTGCCTTCATAAAACCCTAAGATCTAGTGGAATTGCTAGAACTACTAACTGAAAATAGGAATGGAGTAAATCCATGTGATCGATGTCCCTGATACTCATTAAAAGTTAAAGAACCTCTTTACAATCTCTTTAAGAGCAATATTTACATATTAAAACTTTACTAACCTGTTGTTCAGCCACCTCATTATAAAGTAAATTATGAAATTTAGTATTACTAGGATGTAATAAACTCCATATTGATGTTGTTCTTTTTAATAAGTTTTCATTACACCTCTCTCTAGATGTATTAAACATAAACGTTCCAAATAACCTCGAATATGAATGATGGACTAATTTTATCTGAAGAAAAATTTTACGATAAATAACAATGTTTTAATCCACATTGAAGAACTAGAACCATTGAAGGCTACAATCTAGTTAGATTATAATTTTGTGTTTTCTGATATTGTTCGTAACCATTATATAAGCTTAGACAATCTACTGCAGTCATATTCTAAGGACATTATTTTTAACAAATCAAAATGTATAAATTATGACCTGTTTGGATAGCAAAATGGAAAGAGTGTCATATAGCCTAACAATTTATCATAATTTAGGCACTACAACCTGCTATTGTAAGCTTTTTTAAGCAGGATAGGACTTAATATGCAAAGGGACAAAGTACATTGGTATATTGGGGAATTATCAACTTATCAATAAAAGAAGCAATTGACCTTGTAAAGCCTATGTCTCTTGTCTGCACTTTAAGTTTGGATGGTTTTTGTAAGAAATGTGTTTATACCTCATAATACATACGTATAATACATGAGGTATAAACACATTTCTTCACAAAACCCATCCAACCTTAAAGTGCAGTCACGAGAATAAGTACCACTGGTCAAACTTCAGTTGGGACATAGGCTGTATAAGGTCAATTGTCTGAAGATCTCACAGCAAGACATTCTGAGTAAGCATATATTTCTATAACGCTCTACAGTTGATGTTTTTTAACAGTGAAAATTTTTGTATAAGCTTATTATACTCTACACAAATGTTTGAATTTTTCCAGCAAAATCAAGAAAACAAAATCAAGAGATTATTAGGTTTCTTACCTTAAAGTGAATAAAAAAAATATAACAACTTACCAAATAAGCCTCATTAAATTCAAAAGCACAAGGAAATTGTCGATAAACTTGGAATACACAATCTAACCATTGTAAAAAGACTGGAGATCTTTCATTAGCATCTTCACTATCTAAAGCATGACCACAACGATCAGCAAATTTATGTCCAAATTCAATCCATTCTCTTTCTACCAAAGCTTGAAATCCCTTTAAAAAAAAAGCAAGTCATCCATTCATTGAACATGTCTGAATTTCAAGCTGCAGTCTTAGATAAAAAAAAAAAAAATATCTGCTTTACAATATATTGCAATGGTTATAAAGGAGAATTTGGGATAACTTTGAAGTCCAAGCATAAAATATAACATAAAAAATAACCCATTTCAAATTAGATTTTCACAATAGATTGAAGGTTGTGTAGCATTTCTGAAGTAAATATTTCAATTTGGACTCTCATCACTTCCCAAAAATTTTAAATCCCAGAAATGCTTTAGGAAACAATCCGTTCTTTACAGCAGATCTATTATGGTTAGATCACATCAACATCAAATCTTTAATTAGAATTTACAAAATAATGCAAGTTACCTCTATTTTTCTGTAATAAGGATCTAGTAAAAGTTGTGCTAGAGCTACTATCTGTGGTGTACGATCCCAGCCATCAGAACAGTGAACTAATACTGGTCTACCTTCTTTATCTACAGCATTAACTACTAAATTAGCAGCACGTAATATAGCTCCTATATAATGTAACCATTTAGTATTCTCTAGACTTGATAGCCAACTGAAAAATAAAAATTCAGGTTACATCTTTTAATTTTTATGAAATATTTTCCAAGTTTATTTTGATAAATAGTTTTGAACTGATAAAATCATACAGTTTCGTAAAAATCCAAAATCGGTTAAAATTGATCCATGTGGTATCAAAAAAGTATGTCTGTGTTTCAGTCCACAATCAATCTGATGGTAATATTTCAATAATTGTCAAAATTCAAACAAAAGCCCCATGCGCAGGGGCCATTTTCTTACCACTTTACCTTTATACTTTATAAAGAAGATTTTCAACAGTAGAATGATGAACTTACTTGACTTGCTCTGTAAAAGAGCTGGTTAAGGTTCTCAAAGCTATAAAACTCTTTCTGATAGAATGTATATTAGCCAGATTCATAAACTGTATTTCACAACAAGGATAGTAATCTACAATAGATAATTAGAAATTTTATAACAGAACTTGTATAATGGTGTTACTCAGAGTTTCACGCTATGATTTCTTAAGACAAAAGACCTATTTTCGTCCCTCCTGAAGTTAGAACTTATTCTCATGTCTACACTTCAAGACAAGTTCAGAATGTGTGCTTAGAGGCATTAATGATGGAAAGTTTCTCAGTTTAACACAGGTTCCACATTTGGTTTTACTTGTGTAGGCTTTAGCTCTGCTATCAATGGACCAGGATATTTTGTAATTATTATTTTTCATTAAGCGCTTATAAGAGTTTGGTGCTATTTTCATATTTTTGATGTGAAAAAACACTATATGCACCGTATCACTTACCAGCACTTTCACAGCCTCCTCCTTTAGCTCTATTAGCAAACGCTGCACCATAAGATCTACAATCTATTAATAACATCTTTTTGGGTGATAACGATACACTTTCTTCTCCTATTTATAGAAAATAAAACATTATACTATATTGAGGTACCAGTACATGTTAAAAAAACTTTCTGGACAAAAAGATTATTTTTGATTAACTGTAATTATTGATGTTTCATTTCATTGGTTCCAACGATGCTATTGTGAGAATCAAATTTCCTGCTTGATATCTATGATTTTGGTTGTTCTAGAAAAACTTGACCAATTGTGATGTAAATATCACAAAACTTGAATGGTATGCCTACATAAAGGCTAGAAAACCTTTGAATTCCTTTGAACCAAATTTTGTCTCAGCAATTTCTATAATCATTTTGACTCATTTTAACTGAATTTATCTTCTTCATCATTACATACCATTAAATTCAGGAGAATTCTGTCCAGATTCTGGTTTGTTATCTGTACCAGGATTTAAAGCACAAGCTTGTGGTATAGCTGCTAATAACATTTCATCATCTGAATTTCTCCAACCTAGCCACCCTAATTCAGGTTGACTACATCTAACAATAACAGCCCCATTTCTCTGACTCCTACAATAATAATCAGCAAATTTTAAAATAGTTCTTAAAGAGTTCTTAAAGAATTCTTTATTTAAAGTGGGAGTATGCACCTGCTTCAAAATAACATGAATATTTAATAGTTTTGCTTTTAAAGGGACAGGTTCGCCATCTGTTATACCAATCGAACCTTAGTCTCAAAAACTGGAATGTTTCTAAGGTAAGTGCATCAAGAATAGAATTATCCGCTTTTGAAAGTTAAAAAGACAAATCGTCTTTTCTCACCATACATATAAATAAGCTTACAGAAATAGTGAAATTCCTTGTTTGAGGTATTTTTGAAGGAATTATGTTATTTTCGTACATTTCTAGTACTACTGTTCAAAGACTACTTATATACAAAACACAAATAAACTATGTGCTGATATTTCAGGATATGTGAAATACAATAAACTGGTAGAAATTGAGACGCATAATAGTAATTAGTATGTATATAATACAGTATGTATAGTATAGTGTTATTATTTGCTTATAGAAGGTTTTATATCAGTAATGTGTCTTCTCGGCAGGAGAATAAAACTGAACTGAAAGTTTATTTTCAAATTCTTTGTCAATGGCAGTCTTTTCAACTTGCTACAATGACAAGGAAAATTTAGTTTGAAAAATAAGGGATAGGTCTATGGTTAGGAAAAGCCACAGTGACTCTCTCAAAGGGCATGTTAAATACAAGGACCAGCTGGTAGAAAGTTAAAATAAAGTTTCTTTTTTCTTTTCTTAGCCTTGACTTGTAAAGGAATGTTTTATTATTATTATGAAAAGTCAATTTGAAGTTAATTCATACCAAGAGTCTAGCAGCTGTTTGACTGGACCAGAATATTGTACTATAATAAATAAATCTATACTAATATTAGTCATACTACATACCTCCACACAACAGATGGGAAACGTCTCATTGATCTAAAACTAGCTACACTTATTAATTTCTCATCAGATATTGATGTAGGTACAATATGAATCTTCGGATATGATGGACTCACACTGCAAAATAGAACATATCAAAATAGGTCTAAGGCTTTGTCTATTTATATCTGATTGAATCCAGATCTATAATGCATGTGGAGTCACCATGAGAAAAAGGATGGAACAAAACATCTAGATCTGCATTTTTCATCAGATTGTGCTACTAAGGTTTAAGACATTGTCAAGTTTAACCTGATATTTTAATGCAAATCTAGAAGGCATGTGGAGTTAACCCTCAGAAAAAGTATGAAACGAAACATCAAGAGCTATATCTAATAGTTTGTGCTAAGTTTTACTCTATTTTCATGAGGCAAATAGAACTCACAAATTGATTTAAAAAACTGAATTTGTGAGATAACAAATGTGGTATATGATGACTCATTATGTGCATCCACATAGCATAATAAAGATCCCCTAAGTTTTACAATGACTTAGATCAAAAATTTCTTTAGAAGTAAAAATCATCAAGTATAAATATAAAAATAGATTTCTCATACATCACATAATGTTTTTAAATTTATATTTTCTTTATGGCCTATAAATCTCTTTCATCACTTGTAGGTCAAGGACAGCTTGACAATGTTTTTTTTAACATGTCATATACTGTATCAAAGGCTCTGAATACTTTATCAAGGGTGGTTTGATAGGATTTGGAGTTTTTTTCATCTATTTGTGATAGTGAATTGTCAAACATCACAAAAAGGAAAAGTCAACTTGTTTAATGTTTCTAGCGAAGGAGGAAAGAAACACTGAATTTTTTTTCTAAATCAAATTAAATAGATTGAACTGTGGATTTAGGACATTAAAGAGTATAAAATGAAATATTTATTCAAAAAAGTCTTAGCTAAGCCAACAATTTCATGTCAATTGCAACTAAGGATGGGTCTGTACAAATTTTTTTAAAGTTCTGTTTCTTGAGAAACTTGTTCCCTGTTTAATATTAGCAAATTTCTTACCCAAAGTTCTCATTAATATGAGACATTCTCCAAACTTTACTAACCGATGTATCAAATTTCATTCTCTCTATTTCTTTTCCAAACATATCTATATTAATATCATCACCTTAAAATAACAATTCAGTAATTTACATATCAATAAGTTCATATTACACTTAAGATAAATTCTGAATAACATTTGAATAATTCTGAATAACATTTGAATAAAACAAAATTCAATATGCAAGACTGGATGTGAGATTTCTTACAGAGACATAGTTGTTTAAACTCTAGCAAAATATGTTGAAAAGGCCAAATTTCAGATTTCAGATTTATACTATTGTCTCTTTGTACTCTTCAAAGATACGTATGACCTTCAGGTTGTTGCTCCACTGGTACATAGCCGATATAATGATGTCAATGTTCATAGCTGTAAGCTTACGCTAAAAGTTGATAAAAGTCTGAAAGCGACATCAGTCTCTTTCTTTTTTTTGTTCAGTTACAGCCAAATCGAAAGTCACATAAATTTTATTTTTATTGCCACCTTATAGCCCTGTCACAACAGAAAAATGTCCTTATTTACCTGCTACACAGATGGAAAATTAGTTTGGAGTGTGTTACGGTAATAATCACCCTTGAGATCGACACAGAATCGAGATCGTGTCTTGGGAATGCAATATGATTGCATATAGCAATTTAATGCGACTACCGGTACTATAAAATTTGTAATTTTTTCAGACTTTTTGTTGTGCTTTCTTTACGTTTTCTGGCGACCAGGTACATTTTTTGATCGTTCTAATCAGATTTTAAAGTTATGGTACTTACTGATTTGGCAAAGCATTTGGAATTGACCAGTTTGTGATGTAGAAGATTGGGAACTTGAAGCATTATCATCTGTTAACCAAGCATGATAGGACAGAGCAAATACTTGGTCTAAATCTCTCAGGGTACTCGTTTTCTCTGCTAGTCTTTTATACCATATCTGACACAATTCATTAGTCAGAAATGAACACCTAAAACAATTAAATTTCATTGATCAGAAATGAACATCGGGAATACTACTTTTCATTGATCAGAAATGAACATCGGGAATACTACTTTTCATTGATCAGAAATGAACATCTAAAATAATAATTTTCATTGATCAGAATTAAATAGCTGGAATAATTTTCATTTGACAGAAATAAGCATTCAAATTTATAATTTTCATTCATCAGAAATGAATATCTACAATAATAATTTTCAAAGTCTTAAATGAATATCAAGTATAATTTTCAGCCAAGAATAATAAAAACTATAATTTACAAGAGGATAGTTCATTGCCAGTACAATAATAAAATATATAATAAATATATCTCTTTTCACAAGGCAATTCATAGTAAGTATATAATAAGTTCGGCCCAGCATTTAATGTGAACATAAACAGTTACATTTGATGCAGTGCCAAACCTGTATTAATTGTGAAATAAACTTACTTGATAGTAGTAGCATCTTTACAGGATATTATCACATAGAATATCTCTCTCATATCAACTGAGTCTATCAAACCAATTGGTATATTAACAAACCACTTCTTAGCTTTAATTAGTATTCTATAATTAGACAGAGCTATCACACCCTCTGTAACACGACCTAAATACTCCACAGATTCACCATGTAGAGGGGGGAATGGTACCACTAATCCTTCTTCATCACATATTGGATTCTTTTTGGGATAAAGTTCTGATTCTGAACAGATGTCAAAACTGTGAGCTGGTGGTTCTGAATCAGTCTAAAAAAAACAAACAATTTCTTAAATTTACAAATAAAATATAACCTTAATTAACGTTTACATCTTATTGTTCTACAACAAAACTAGCTGAATCTTTTTGGCTTTCCAAATGTTAAGGAATCAACATCAGGACCAGTAAGACACAGACAGCGTCTGATTTATAGTTCAAAACAATCTGATTTTAAGTGATTACTTTTCACCTGGAAGCATTTAAAGGGGCATTCTGCTTTTTTTTTGTAAACATTTTCATTATCAAAATTAATGATATTGAATTATACCTGAAAATATTTCTAAAGTATGTTATTGACATTTATGTATCTACTTGATCAAACTGAATTTGTTTTAAAAGGGTTAATAAAAACTGAGAGTACTAATTGTTAATTAAGCAGTTTGACCTAGTTTCGGGGATTATCTTTAAAATGGCTCCTTATATTTAGAAAACATAGTCCAAGGAGACATTTACTATTATTAATTTACACAAATCCGTACAGAAGTTTTTTAACAGCTTACAAAAATCTTTAAAAATTTAAAAGCTTTATTCGTAAAAATTTATAGTTTTCACAAATTTGAGCAAAAAAATTTGCAACCTACAAAAAAAAGCAGAATGTCCCTTTAATACTATTTTACATCTGGCTGACATACAGTCATGTTCTTATACCATAAAACTGACTGAGATCGAAAATTTCTTCAATTTCATATTTACTTTGGTAACTTAAAGTCTTACACATATTTTGAGGGGGGCTTCCCAACAATTTCAAAATAAATTTTCAATTACAATTACAGGGTATCTTAAAAATATTCAGATTAACATGATCATATTTGAGTTTTCAAAGAGAATAAAAAAATGTATCAGACATATCCAAAATGTGTCAGTGTGACCTATCACCTAAATNCATTAAACATATTAACTAGTAGGAAATCAAAAATGGGATAGACTGTAGTGTATCAAGTTAATATTAGATTTTTAAGACTTAATGTATAAAAGCTTAACATGCTATTGATAATATGTAAAAAACTAATAAGCTTATATTTTCATGTTTTAGGCAATTTAATACTAAAGACAGATCTATTATATTATAATATATTAAGTTTAAATATATCTGAATTGATAAAACCCGTATGGTTGATACTATTTGCAAACAATCAAGATAACATTCTGTAAGCTATTACTATATTTATTGATTTTCAAGCAAATCGGATGTTAGATTTTTATTTTGAATGGTGATATGGGTAACTTCACATCTAAGATTACTGATTGGCATAAGCTGTTGCTTATTCCTGATAACTTACTTATTTCATTGTGGAAGATTATTGTTTAAACCAGAACATAAGATATAAGCTTAATATCGTTATTAAAAATTGGTTATGTGGACTTCAAGTAAAAGCTTCAAATTTGACAAACCCAGTTATTTTCACTTAAAAAATACACGTAGGCCCCAATTTAGGAAAAGAAATCTATGTAGGTCAATCATATATAATATTACATTCAATATTACTTGTACATGTCAATGGTTTTTCTACATGGCTTATCAATAAACCTAACTACTATTATTTAAACTTGATATGTCAGCACAAATCAGCAGGGAGGTACAAAGCCTTAGTTACCATACAATGAAACTCAAGGGGTAGGCTAAAACCAATAGACAATTTCATTAATAAACCTGTACATATAATCTTATAAGATTTATATAAACCTGTCAAACTTGTCAAAAACCTTATATTAAAGATAGACTGTCCCTGGAAATATCTTATGTCTTTAAAACATTAAGCTTTGTCAAATACTGTTTTCTATGTAGCTATGATGTAAAAGTAGTAAGTCAGTGCACATTAAGATCCCTAAACCTTTGGAACTAACTAATATATTAAATGTGCTGTCGTGGAAATATTTCCTCCTCAATACATGGTGGAATGCTTTTTTTCATTAAGACAATAGATACAGTAAAAAAGGATATCGACAAAATTCCTTTCATGCCAGAGAACAAGGTGTATGAGTTCAACAGTCTGTGGTTCCTTCATTTTCACTTTAACTTGTTGTTTGATGTCAATAATGGCAAATTAGGCTTATATCACATAGGTCTTTTGTGATTAGTGAGGTCATCAAACACTTTTAGTGGAATTGCAGAACTCACTGACGTTAGATTGAAAATTGGAATGTCGCAAATTGATGCTAACAGTGTCCTCAATACACAAAAAATTCAGAAAACATCTTTATAATCCCTTTAAGATAACAAATTTGAACCTACCATGAATCAAATCCTAAACCAATCAATTAGTCTAGATAATCAATGGCTGGGAATCATCTATCTGACTCATATATATGATATTCAAGTTACAGTCCAATCTTTATTTCATTTTAAACTACCTAGTGACATTATGGTTATTTAATTGCTTACAGATGTCTAGTCTAGTTCGAGCAATTGAGCTTCGTGGTTCACTTTCAAGCGATACGAAAATCTTTCTAACATGGCAAACAGCGTAGTCAGGTAAATAAACTTGATATTGGTGACATTCAAAATCATGGCAGAAGGTCACTGAAACAATATTAAGCAGATATTCTTCTACAATGTCTTAGTACTAAAGAACCCCAGCAATTTAAATCAGAGCATACTGAAAGGTCTAATTTCCACATTCACTATAAGTTTAATTATGTAGTCTGGGTTATCTAGACACGTAAGAAACCTGTCAAAGTGTATCTTAATTTGGCTGGAAGACAATAATCAAATTGGTGATTGTCATCAAAATCTGAGAGCTGCATGAAACCCTTTTCCTTAACAGGGATCCGACGTCTGCAGTTCCCTTCCACTAAAACTAAAAGTGTTTAATGACATCAATACTCACGAGGTGCAAAAAGCCTTAAGTGATAAAGCAAATTTCAAGATTAGTTATGTCTTCAAACATTTAGTTTTAGTGGAATTGCAGGCACCACAGACGTTTGATTGAAAATTGGAATCATGCAAATCAATGCTATCAGTGTTTTCAGTGCAGACATAAAATTTTGAACATATCTTTTTACATACAATCCCTTTCAGGCAATGAATAAACTCAATGATATTAAATGAGCTTAATGGAAAAGACAGTAGCCTAAAAGATATCCAATTGAGTTTAATATTCATTTCTACCTTGGAGAAATCCACCTTGAAGTTTAACAAGTGTATATTTATATAATAATTGTGTCCTTGGAGTTGAATTACAGACTTGAAATGGGTCATAGTGACATACCCGCATGTAAAAGTCAATTCTAAGGCGGAATACAAAATAAGACATATTTTTTAAAACAAAGTGACAAGAGATTATTACGCTATGATCTTAATTATCTAAGTCTCAAAGTACAATAATTATCATTTTGATAACCTAATATTAATTAGAACTTATTAGTCATAAACAATTTGACAACAATAGCTGTAAATAGCTGATATAAACATTGATGTTACACCATTTATTTATTATCTCATGTAAAATATATTTGGTGTATGTATCTGGCCCAGTTTATCATCAAAAGAATTGATCTTGGTTGAAGACTCTTAAAGGGGCAGCTCATCGCAATTTCATTTGACATACACTACCCTAGTCCCAAAAACAGGAATTTTGTTCTCTAGTCTAATCATAAAAGTGTTCACAGCTCATCATCAAAATTTGAGTGAACAAATCTATGTGTGTCCAAAATTATCCGTTTTATAAAGTTAAAAGATGGCTCGTCTATTCTTTAGATTCTGCAATTGAGGAGTAAAAAATCATCCAATTTTCGTAGATTTCTACTATTTCAGAAGACTAAGCCATATTATATTACATGCAAACTTATTCAAGACCCAAATAAACCTCCAAAAATGAAAAACCTGTCCCTTTAAATAAATTGGATTTGTGCCTAAAAGCATTTGATTGGCTAATTAATGAAAATAGGCAATGCCATGTGTTATAACAAAATGTTGCCAGAACGGTGCCAGAATTTACTATTTCATGAAGGGATATTCAATGTGCACAGACTATTGCACTTACAGCATTGGTTTATTGTCCCATCTTTTAGACTACCCCTATATATTTTACATAAAGGGCAATTCCATGGTAAATGATACTGATTTATGAAATTTAGAATAACTCAGAAAGTTTAGAAACTTTTTTTATTTCAATAAGAATATATTATACTTAATTATTTTGGGAAATTTATTATGAAAAATATTATTACGACGAATTTTTTGAGGAATATCTTGTGTATCAGTAATATTATGAAATTATATCAATTTTGTTTATTTATCTTAAAGGGCTTGTAAAACATTCAAATCACTATTGAAATTAGTTCTGTTTAGATACACATGTAAGATAAGGAACATTTTTCTTCTAAAGAATGAAAAATTGAAATTCCTTTGCTTAACTTTTTTAACAACATACCATTTTTAAGTCAGCGGTACAAAATAGTACCCACTGAAAGGCATAATGGTTCTCTGTTATAAACCATTCATTGTTTAAATATTGCAAATAACATTTCAGCCTAAAACTTTTACTGGTAAGGACAGAAAATTGTCTGAAATGTACGTCCGTTACCATGGAATTGCCCTAAAGATTCTCCAAATATCACTGACATGCATTATGACAAATGCTGGGATCAAACTAAGGACCTAGAGACAAGCATGTAACTGGTCATTTCAGCTGTTCAGATTACTGTACCGTACATCAATATCTTAGTATCATGAATATCAGTTCCAAATCAATATCATTATGTAAGCTTAAGTAACATTATGTCATTAAAACATAAAACATAACCAAGATTCTATTATAGATTCAAGTTAACTACTTTCACAAGCTGACCAAGGTAAATTTTTTACTTACCATTTTTTTTCTACAGTACAGTAATTTAACCAATTAACACAAAACTTTTTTTATTTGCCTACAAATATAAATTGTTATCATGTAATGTTTGAAAATTAAAATACTGGAACATCATCTACAAAATTAAATGATTATTTTTATTATTCACATAAAGTTCAAGATGTAAAAGC